ACTCATCCACTCACCAACTTATTATAAGAGTATGCAGAAACTCCACAGACGGGGCCCTGAGCTTATGTTCAGCCGGGGTTGCGGGGCAAGCGCAATGAGGCACCGCAGCGTTGGCCCAGAGCAGGAGAAGGAACGGGGGGGGGGGAGGTTTAGTCAGTAAGAGTCTGAAACTCGCTCCCGCCCGACTGTAGGAGGGAGAAGTCATGATGTATTTCCCCTCAAAATAATAATACAGACACTATCATTAAAGTTTCTCCTTATAAAGGTAAAGTTCTCACTTCTATCAGAGAACAGAGATACGTACCAGCTAATGCCGGAAATGAAATACATATCGTAATTTACGACTAAGACAAATCTGATAAACCAAGAAATATTTTTCGAAGTTTTCTAAAACAGCCAACATTAATCTGTTCAGAAGCTAATTCTTCAAAGTGGTTGTTATATAGGGTTATTGTCATTCCAGCAACGTCTCCCAATGACTGTCAAAAGTACGATTGTAATGACTCAATCATGATCAAATCCACTTAAATCTGCTCTAAATATCGCAAATCGAAAAATTGCTTATTTCTATTTGCATAACGTTCAAAATATTTGCAAAAATACTTGAATTCAATAAGTAAGTGTTAGTTGTCACGAAATGCAATTAAATGTTACAAAACGGAACCGTGGAGCGTTGCGTTAGACTTGACAATGAAAGTGACGCGACACGATATGCGCAGCCTAGCCGGACCTAGGGTTGGCAATCATGTTAAACCATTTTATTACTGTATTAAATACCATAATAAACAATACTAATATTTCTTCGATACTTCCAACTTGTAATAAATAAACTAGCTTGTTTACAGTATGAATAGTTTAAATGCCAAATGAAAGTAATTAATAATCTCAGTTGAATGTTTGTGAAAACATTTTAGTTAAATTAACTAATGCATTCAAGTGGCATATTAGCTAGATATCAACTTCTTTCTAACAAAATATCAAGATCGGCTGAAACTTGAAACTACTATAGCTTTTCTCAATAAATTTACTGACGATAGTACCTAACTATAGAAAAAATATAATTCTGTATCAAGACGGTATAATTTATTAACACATGAGTGACATCCCTAAAAATATTTGAAAACAATGCAAGTCAAGCGTGCGCCAGCGCATTAGAAAAGCTTCACCAAGCTTAATCGACCTTCGATTAACGGATACAATACAACATTTGTATTACACTAGTCCACTGGCCTGGATTACAGTACTTACATTAATTGTATTAGCGTAGACTTAATGGCTTTAAAACAATCATGCTAAGAAAAAACGGATTTGGGAATACAAAATTTTTATTGAAAACACCTAATAAGTTATTAGGTGTTTTCTATAAAAATTTAAAAAAGTTATTAGTAATAACTGATTCTGAAAAAAGTTATTAAGTAAAAAAGTTATTAAGTATTAATAAGTTATACTGATTTTGAAAAAGTTATTAGTAATAACTGATTCTTGTCAAATTATTAAATTATTTTAAATTAAATATTACATCCAAAAATGGAACAAATCGTCCATAAACAAAAATTTCCTCAATAGACATTAAAAGTAGCTAGTATTAATTTGCTCTATGGCTAAGTGTATTGCAATATTTCTTTTACCAATTAGTGTCTAAATTGCGTAGGATAATTGATTGATGAAATCTAATACCAATACTTGCCAAATTCTTTTTCTGTTGTTGAAGAAAATACGCGACTCAATTTGAAAAATGAGTTGTACGGTTACAACTGCAATACTATTAAGAAATTATTAAGACTTTTAATATTTTATTAGCCATTAAATAAATGTCTGTGTGTCAAGGGACAGTGGTCCATGTGAGGTAACATTTAAATGTCACACATTAGCTGTATCTACTTGGAGCTATGGATGTTCATACAACGGCTTAAATCATGTCGTGGCAAAGTTAAATGACTTCCAACCGCTTTGGTAAGACCAGGCTAGTTGTAATAATGAAGACAGGTTGCTTATTAAGAAATTAAATCAGGATCTGGAAGTGGAAGCAGTTGTCGTTTCTCAAGGACTTAATCATAATGATTTTGAACTAGGTTATGTTTCTCTTCTGATTTATTTGTTGTGAGACGTATGATGTGTCTTAATATGGGTAAGTACTCTGATTCTAAACGAAATTATCACTCGTATAACCCAACAGACTGTGACATAAGCTAACCAAAAACCATACCAAATTACAAAAAAGACCAAAAAAACGTCTTTTATTAAAGAACGAGTGTAACATAATACGAACTACTTTCTCCATCAAAATCAACCAATCGTGAAATGGAAGCTTGCGTATTGGCAGGTCTTATACCGCAGGTTTGCGCGGGCGCAACAGATGTTGTCTGAACAATGGTAATGGCTGGGATTTGGTCCGTGACGAGATTCAGCTAATGCACAGGTGCTACAGTTCAGTTTTGACGTCTTGGAACCTACTGCAATCTCACTTGACGGGTGACTTGGCTTTAAAAAATTGTGAGATGATGTTAACAAATTTGAATGGATTTTAAGTGTTTTATAACATCGGAAATTGATCATAGATTAAGTAACATTCTGGTCCACAGATTAGGCAGAAATTAACTTAACTGTTTTAAAACATACCGACCAGTAAGCCAGTAAAGATAAATAAAAACTACTTTATCCAAAAGCATCTGCATGTCTACCAAGTATTTATTAAATGTGGGTATATGCCTTTCATAAATATGTACCCGGAAAAGATCCGATCAGCAATAACACAGTAAACCACAAAACATACAATAATTTGTGTAAAATAAAACAAAACATTTGCTACACGTTTGTTGCATAAAATAAAAGGTCAAGTTCTTACCTAATAATGCGAAAGTTCAGCTGTTAGTTTGTGAGTAGGTAACCAAGATAAACTTCCTCATAGAGTCATAGCCGACATTTAAGTGGATTGTTTATTAAATTTGTTATTTTTGCCGTTCCACGCCAATTTATGATGGCTATTAATTACTGTCAATGCTGCGGTCTTGAAAAAACGGTTCTATTAATCGCCTAACAAAAAATGATAGATACCTATCTATTTAAGTTTAGTAGGTATACCTACGTTATATACTCAGCAGTTTCCTCCTGTAAGTAAAGTCTAATTATCTGTCGCATAAACCACTTTGAAAAATATTTTTTAATATCTATCTATTTCAATTAACAAGAGTGATTTAACCATTGAAGCGATTGTTGGTCGGTTCATTGTCTGCTATCAGTAGATCCTTAAATTAGTAAAGAGTTCTTTAGAATATTCCTAAACGTTCTATCAAACGGTTACATAATTATAATTGACATGTTAAAATGTACCCCGATATGGATTATTGATTTATTCAACGCCATGCTTATAAGCTTTTACACTCGATTGCGCTAAACCTCCGACAGAGCGTGAATATCTTTGCTTTTAATATTGAGACCAAAGATAAGGTTGTTTGGTTGATTAATTATTTCCGTTATTGATATACTTAGGTGTTATTTTGTAAGAACATATAGTGCAGAACTGTTCAGTTTTATTGCTCTCATGGTCCATTGCTCAACAGCCCAACCATAAAACCGAAATCAGGAGTGCTTGTTCACATAGATGGGGCTTCATGGGGCCCAGAAGGGTCGATTAGTTTAGCTGGGCTGGGCTACCGCGGCCTCGGCCTAGAGCAGGAGAAGGAATTCATCTCCTCCTAACTCCGTCACGCCATACCCTAGGACTGCTTTCAAAATATTGCAGTAACTACCGACTTAAGTGTGAATGAAGTCACCTGTGTTAATTATGTAACATCACATCCTACCAGTGTCTCGACTCCAAAAACACTTTTTAGCACTGAACAGCTTTCGTCACATTAATTAGGTACATGAGTTACTGGTGGGACCGCACCCAAAAGTTACGGCATCGTAATGCAACATTCAACTTTATATGAGACGCACTGATGAAATCCTTAAGACTCAGTTCTGCCCTCTTAATGGAAAGCTGTGATTATTTTTCCTGTTATAGCCAATAAAATGTCCTTATTCATAAATATACGGTTCTATAATTAGGTCCAATTGAATGCAATGCGATTTTTAAGCTCGAAAAGCCGCCATATTGGCATTACCTACTATTTTCGCGCCAACATTTTAAAATCGGAACTTCAAATGCAGAAGCTATTTCCATAGTCATTAAAACCCGGTCGTTTTATCTGCGTTTAGAAAGTTGCTGACTTCCGATTTTTTCTTACACCTAATCGCAGGAAATGTCGCACACATGCTACGCATGCTTAGGAGATATTTGTAAAGCCAAGTTCACACATAAATTATCAAGTCCGTATACATACTTGTACAAGCTAAACTTTGTCAGTTATTATTCGTTTAAAATCTAGGTTATTTAGGGCTGGATTCCGAGAATTCCTTTGCAAACACATTGGACTATTATTTTATCAAGTGTGTCATTTATTGGATCGAATACGCAACCCAAACTGCGGGTCTCACACCAGCTTTATTATTTAATCGTGTGCGAACCAGTTCCGCTGTCATCGAATTATATCGGCATATTATTTTATTACACAACGGCCCTGCGCCGAGCAGTGCACCGTCCATTTTGGAGAAATTGCCACCATTACGTAATTCCAATCTTGCCGCACATGCTTTACACTTGATATTTTACTGAGATTTATAAAGTTAATGTTGAAAGTGAAATTTAATTCAATTCTGTCGGAAGACTGTGTGTTCATTGTAAATAATTGTAGGATAGGTAGTTGGTATAGGAAGTAACAACGATATCTACGAGCAGTAACGAATGACAACTAACCACTTATTGAATTAAACTTGTTAATGAAAGAAACTACTTACCTAAGTAGAATAAATTGTTGAAACGAACTTGTAGCATTTCTAATGTAGATTCAATGTACAGCTCCTTTCTCCATCTTTATTGTTTTAATTATTTTTCTTTACAAATCTTGGAGAGCCGTTTTGGAAAAGCAAATTTTAAGAGTGTAATGATTTTGTTCCAGGTGGAGATATTTGTTAACGTTGTTGCTCCTCGGCGTAGCATTTGCAGCTGAAGACGATGACAGCATACCTGACGCTGGTGTGGATGAAAATGATGAACTAGCACTAGATCAAGAGGTGAGGCATCTTACTTTTTTAAATGTTTAATTATCCAAGATTCGTTTATCCGATATTGTAACGTTTGCAAAATAAATAAGACACAATATTCTGTGTTTTGTACATAATGTAGGAATAACATATTAATCTACATAGTTATTCCGTACGGAAATGTAATACACGGCATGGTGCACAGTCGTCCATCAAGCATGCAGTTTACATTCAATACATCAAATAGTTTTTTTTTTATTTTGAAAAATTCAATTAAGAGTTTTGATCAGATAAATAAATTGTGAATGTGTTTTATTGTTCTTATTTTAAATAAACAAAAGATTCGTTTGGTGAAATACTTATTCACGTCTTGGTCAGTTAACGTATCTTGTAATGAACAGCTGTCTCAACCTATCGTTTGATCAATAGGTTCACAGCTCACTTGCGGATTTCTCAGTCACGATTTAGCCTTGCTACTATCGCTTTCTTTATCTAGATCAAAATTAGACTGCAGTAAATCTAAGTTGACTCACCAGGTAGAAATACCTACCTGGGTTCCTACAAAGGACGTTTTAACGAAGATATAGTACTTTTTCTATTAAGTATTAGGATCTGTTTCAGAATGTCTGGATAGCTAATATATACGTACCTAATTTGAATGAACTGTATACATATTTGTGCCATAAAAGTTTATTGGGTACTTAGGTATATGAAGATAGTGAAACAAGCCCATAATTAAAAAAAATCGCATGAGGTTGTTGTCTTAATCTTGTAGTTCAATTGAATAAAAGAAGAGTATTTCGATTAGGTATAGGGTATATGATTTTTTGATAATCTCAAATTCCTTGCAGTGTTCAAATTAAATGCTATCAATAAAAAGGTACCTAGTAAGTAGGTATTATTACTATGACGTGGTCATCAAAGTGATGGATGGCTCATAGCATAGCAGTAATGACCAAACACGTTTATAGATAATATTTCCAACATATTTATCTACATGTGATGCGATTCATTACTTTTATTCTAACTAACTATAGATAGGTAACTTAAAATTCAACTTTCACCTTTTGCTTTTAATACTACCTTAATTTGTATCCGTTACATGAAAAAAAAACTAAGTAGTATCTATAGAAAGGAAGTAGGTTGGTTGTGCTACCTAATTTAGTCTTTAGATACAAAGCAGATCAATTTACGATAAGGTATTAAATGTTAAATAAGTAATGTTGTAAAATGTTAAATGGCTTTTACAATGTAATAGAAAAGCCAGAATAAAACTTTGAATGTTAAATACATGATTATGTTATTGTAGGTTGTATGGATATAATTTGTTTCTCTTTAATGCAAAAACTACAAATAGAATGTGAACGAAATTTGAAAGACTATCGATAGGTTACCTACCTACTTTTGTTTCAATGAGACAAAGCCACTGGAAAAAGCTAGTAGCTAATCCATTATTAAAGAAGTCAGATATCACTGAATTCTATAATGGTACACAAAGTTAAATAAAAAGCAACGAGTATCGTATCAGAAAAAATAGAGAATAACGTTTTTCCGGCAAATTCATGAAAGTCGTGACCGAAATCGAATGTTACGATATCCCGCAGTAAAACGATGCAATTCTTCTAACGCCATCGTGTCAATGTCCGTGTAGCAAGGCCATTGAGAGTGAAAGTCGAAAGCTACTCTTTATTTTTATTCCTATTTTCTTCTTTTTAAACGTTTACACGTTTTCCGAACGTTAATCGCCGCCATGTTCCCGTTTTTGGCGGGAAAGTTTATTAAATGTCATTGACATATGTAGGTACCTACCTATTTAAGCAAAAAATCTGAATGGCATAATTAAAGGTAATCTAGACTACCTACTCTATTATTATATTTTTAATTTTCCGGGTATAAACAAAATAACAATGAATACGAGAAATCATCAGTTCTAAATTCACAGTTCGTTTTGCGTAATCGCGTGAGAAAAATGCTAATTTGGTTGTTATTCAAATTAATATGTTACGTTTCCTTCAGAATTAAACACATATCTTATTAAACGTAACGTATGCGGTCAACATAATTATGTGTTAAACTTACTTAACTTACCTATAACAAGGAATTAATAAAAACAATCTTCCATGTGTTGTATAAAAGATGAGTTAATTTTAATTTGAAGAGCATTCTTAAGACAAAAAAGTCTTAAGAAATTAGTGAAGGTAGGTAAGTACTTTAGGCGGTACCAGTCGGTGGGGTTATTAATACAATGAATTATTATATTTCCAATAAGAAGGTTCACGTTCTACAAAGTCTGTCAATAAATAATACACGCGTCGCCCAGAGCAATGAACGGCTATTACAAAACAAATGCAATTTTAAACGAAATTAAAACGCGAACTCATTAACAAAGTAAAAGTCCTCTCTCCCGGATCTGTGAATGTGTAACAATGATATAATACTTGATAACAACACATCGGCGTCGTCCCGCACGATTGCACCAGTGCCTAGGCATATTTTTTCCTTCAAATATTAACTATTGCGCACTCAACACGCGTCAAGAAATGAAACTGTTTATAATACAAATTATACGCCCGGTAATTGCATAAATTATGTAATTTCGCTGTTACCGCTCATACTTACTTCCAGTTTTTTAGTTGTTTGGAAAAACACGATTAAGTGCAATTTAATTGGCCGGAAAAATTAGCTGCCAGGTATTAAGTGCACACGTGAGAATGCGTTTAATAAGTACGACATTTATTATTGTTCAAATTTGTTAAAAAATGTTAAGTACCTAACTGTCGTTGTTAACTCTTTTTTCTTAGGTACTTTCAATTATGATTATAACGTGAAGGAATAAAAATACCTAAAGGTTTTAGGTTAGGTTAGGTCCTTTAGGTAAGTATGTACTTAGTTTTATTCCAAAAAATAGGCCATAAACCTGGCCCATACTTTTATATATAACTGGATCTGAGTGATGGACAACCTACTTCAAAGCAAGAACCAAACATACCTATTAGGTATTATTTGTCCATAGTCACTTAAACAAATGAGTTTAATTGAAACAAACTATTCATAATATTGATCACATTTCAGGAATCCCGCAACCTTCGGCCGCGGGCTTACCAACCAAATGCCTACAACACACTCCCCAGTGGATTCCGACCATCGCCTTCATTGGCTGAGCTGGCTGGCTACCAAAGACCATCAGAACATCAAGAAGAACCACAATACGTGGTCCAGCAAAGACCAGCTCCGCAACAGCAGTATATTGAAGAACCCAGACAACCTCAAAGAGCGCCACACAGGAAGGTGAGTACTTGATCAAAGTTATACAGGATTTTTAAATTCCAGTTCCAAGCTGACATAGGAGTGCCGGGGTTGTGGGTTAAGCGCAATGAGTTACCGCGGCCTCGGCCCGGAGGAGAAGGAACGGGGGGAGGGGGGGGGGGTTTAGTCACTAACACTAACCCTGGGCGGGAGAAGTCATTTGATGATTTTCCCCTGACAAAAAAAGCTGACATAGGAGTGCACCAGAAGTAACAACGCTTGCACCCAATTATATTAAAATTAACGACTTACTCAGTGACAAACCTCCAGGTACTTGGTTCAAGTCACAACGGCCGCGATGTGCACGCTGCTCATGAATAAGAATACTGATTGGGTAGAAGCTCCTTGAAAGGGTTGGCAATTTAATCGGTAGAACAGGCTAATAAATACAAAACATTATTATTGAACATGCAACTATTATTTCTTTAGCAGGAACACCGCCCAGCAAAACTGCAGCAAAGACCAGTCCAAGAAGTAGAAGAAGAACTAGAAGAGGAAGAAAAGGAGGAACCTGACCGTCTGTCTCAGCTGCTGCAGCAGTCCAAGTTCAACTGCGTGAACAAACAGACTGGCTACTACGCGGACGAGGAGCTCAACTGCGAGGTGTTCCACTACTGCCAGGATAATGTCAAGCACTCTTGGGTCTGCCCCGACGGATTCTCCTTCCACCAGGTAGGTACCTCATTTGTAACTTTGATTTAGTTAACGTAGCTACAACTCGACTTTGCCGATTTTTAAATAATTTACCTTACTCAATATCTTTAAAACATTTATCTAAAAACAGCATCTGGGCCCTGGACCTCTGTACTCAGATATTGTGTAGAATCTAATCTAATCTTTATATACCTATATGTTTAATTATGCATGTGTGCGTGTGTATGTCATTAAACTCCTCCTAAACTGCTTGACCAATTTTAATGATTTTTGCTGCATGATCGCTCTGGATGATTTAGATCCACAAATCAGCCAGATAGTTGGCCTTGATTGCTTGAAAAAGCATGTGATCTTGAAAATGGCCCTAACAATTTCACTGTTTGATATGTATAACAATGAAATTCTATGCGTTAGTCTCACAAAATCTTGAAAACTACTGGTCCGATTTGGTATTTTTCGTGGAAGGTCAGAAAACATAAAATAACGGCGCAACGAAGATTGAAGGTCAGCTAGTAGAAGATAATTTTTGAATTTGGTTAGATGATCCTGTTACTGTTAATATTAAATCGATTTTAACATTGCTTCTTACAGGTACACTTAATCTGCATGCCGCCGACACACGACAACATCTGCCAGAAGTCCTCAAAGTACCACTTCGTGAACGAGTACCTTTACCGGCCAGTGAATGAGGAGGAGGTCCAGAGGAAACCTAACGTATCCCTCAAGTACTCCGACAGGTACTACCCCGCTGAGGTCTACAGGGACGACAGATTCGACCAAGAGGAAGAAGAGGAGGTAGGATTTTGAAATTCAAGTTATAACGAAATCTGCAAGTATTAAAATCCCTGTAAAACTTTTCTGAACACTGTAATTATTGATTACCTACTTAGGGAACTTAAGAATTTCTTTTAGATTATACGGTATATTTTCTTAATTGTTGTTTTACATCACAGGAGGAGCAGCCCCGCCGACCTCCCGCACCAGTACAGCTACAGGCTCGGCCAGTGCAAAGACCACAGCCACAGCCTCAAGTGTTCCGTTCCGCAGAGGAAGTAAACATCCCATTGGTACAGAGGCGCCCGCAGCGTCCATACGACTTCGACTTCTAAACTCTCTCTACTAAGCCGATTGGCTATAAGCTGTAATTTTCCCATAATCTACTGGATATGCCATTTCTATTCAGAGGTTTATGACTCCCGAGTATAAAAAAGATTTTTGATTGAATAGGTAGTCATCCTAAAATCTGTAGATTTTCTGTTTGATGACTTTATTTCTTTAAAAAAAATCTTAATTCTGTGCCCATTTTACTCTTGTCATGAGCCAAGTTTTGAACAAAATGGTCGAAAATTTTCTTTTGATGCTGTTTGTCTTTTAAAACTGACTGTCATATCGATAATCTACTTTACGTAGTTACTTACCATCACATTTGTATATCTTATAAGGTTAAGTTTTAATTAAAACTTATTTATATTTCTGTAAAATAAGTCACAAATTAGTTTATAAGCTAGTCTTTGCGTAAACTAGTATGTTTAAGTATAACAAAAATGAAAATAAAGCGTTTTTGTTTAATTTCTTTTTTCTTTTTATTAAACCATCGAATTCCTGTTAGATCAATGTATTTTGGAATCAATAATATACATGTTTTTTCTCTTTCTTAACTTAAGGTTTATTTTGATCTGAAACAAAACAAACCATTTCATTATCCTACATCTGGATACACACCAGTTCTTATTTTTGTCCTTCAGTAATGTTTATTAAGTAATAGTTGTAGCACCACAAATATCAATAAGTACCAAAAGCCCATCAAAATTGGCAAGTTCAAAATGGTCTCAGAACTCTGAGATTACTTCTAAATTACAACTAGTGGAAAGTGAGTGATAAGGTTTATTTTTTATGTGATAGGTAGGTAAGCAATCGCGCACTAGCAACACCAAAAGAGTTTGTTCTGTGTGTGTTGCCGGCTTTTTTTTGAGGATAAGGGCTTCTATAATTAAGGATTGAGAAAAGAATAGGAAGAGAGGGAGGGATTGGGCCCCAGTAACCTAACTCACACGGCAATACACAACGCTGTAGTTGTTTCCCGCCGATTTTCTGTAAGGCCGTGATATCTCTCAGATCGAGCCGACACATTCGTGCCGAGGCTTGGTTCTCCAAATTTCCAAGAAAACTCCAAGCTACATTACACGTGTGACATCACGACCCCTTCTCATCCCACGTCATTCATGATCTTCTCATCCCACGGGTCTCGTAAATATCGTTTAACAGAAAATGGGCAGCAGCGTTCTCAGATAAACATGACCCTTTTAACCTGCGATCTTCACCTGTGCATATTAGTGCCTGTTGTGTATGTTACCCCTTTTGTAGAACAGGCCTATCTATAGAACAGCAGTGAGCTCTTAATGATGATGATGAATTTCCACTCGGGAGAAGCTACAAGCGGAAAACGTTCGTTATAAACTTACTAACCTGTCTTACAATTCGTGATACAAGTCAAGCAATTGCAATCGGACCGACAAAGTGTTTCTTTGTCCTTCAGACGCCTTTCTATCTTCCCCAACTGTTCATCAAAAAATGCTTTAAACTCGTCGTCGGCCTTGCGTCGTTCGCACATCGTTGGAATAGCATTTGGTGTGTTACACTTTTTACAACCTCCAGTACATGGAAGATCAGCCTGTTCGGCTTGTTCATTAGTCATACATTCAGGCTGGATTGGCGTTGTGCAGGAATCTTCTTCATCTGCCGGTGGTTCCGATGGTGACCCGCAATCATTAAGTGATTCCTTTGAATGCTTACATTCATCAGGGCGAGTGCAAAATCTATGATCATTAGGTTCCATACTCAAACTCAAACCTAATTTTCGTCTTACGTTTCCGGTCTTATTTTTTGATTCATCTGTGCATGCATTAGCATCATTATTAGTAATAGAATCTGTATTATCTGAACATGTGGGAACATGATTATTGTTACATGCATTGGCACAGTTTGTTGTATGCACTCCGATAACGTCGCGAGCATGTATATTATTAAAAGATTCTTTGTTTAAAGAACACTCGCTCGTCGCTACTTCCACATCCGCTTCATAACTATCGTCATAAGGTTGAGCATGTGAATGAAGATTCCGAGATAAGCAACACGATTTGTTATGAGTCCCAGATGTAGGATATGAAGGCTCTGCACCTTTAGAATTATGTAAACAACAAGGAGTAAAATCTCGTTTAGCCTGGCAATTTTCTTCAGGTGGTGGCGGCGGGCATGGTGGTTCTTCGACATTTGGCTCATCACAAGCGCATGGTGTACGACTTGAGGGGTATTTTAAAATTCCTGCATTACAAGATGCCGGCTCAAGATCTTGCTGACAAACCTGTTCGTAATACTTTTTAGTATAAATCCAAGCTTGTTCCATCATTTCTCGTAAATAATTAAACAAATCTTTTGCATAAGCACATGCTAGTTGCTGCTTACAATGTGGGCATGTGCTTTGGTGGGCATTCAACATTTTTTGAAGATAAGCTTTTGCTATTTCGAACATTGTCTCTTTACAACAATGGGAATCATTAGGATTTAGGTCATCCTCGTCATTTTTTATATTTGTTTTTGCAGCTGGACAATGCTGACATGCTGTCGGTTCTGGACATGGCTGATGTGACTGCTCAGGTGCGCAACTTTGCTGTTCAGCATTCGGACATGGTTGCTCATTGCATGGCTGCTCAGCACCAGGGCAAGGCGGTGAAGGCTTCTTGCTTTTGCAGCTCCTCTGTTTAAACCCTCGCCATGACGATTTAGTATTCTGCGATGCATCTGGACAAGTAGGTTTCTCATCAGAATTTGCATTTTTACCTGGACAAACTGTTTTTTTCGTTGTACATTCAGACTCTGCTGAGTCATCACAAGGAGGTGGTTTCGGATTACACCGTTCACATTGAGTTCTGTGGTTATAAACAAGTGAATAAAGATATTCCATAGCCTGTTCTAGTAGTGTCTGTTGGCAAGGTGGATGGCGTTTTTGTCGTTGTGAACATTTTGGACAACAAGTACAAGGAGTTTTATCATTATCTTTGGATACTTTAGCAACACCTATTCTCATATCCATACAATGACCACAGGGTGTGTTTGACATATGATGATAAAACGCATGCCAATCAGCTACCCTACACGTTTTGCAGGTTCTCTGATTGGTAGGTTGTTCTTCAAAATCATAATCATTTATTATAAGTTCATTTGAATCTCTTCTCTTCATTCCTGGTTGTCCTGTAAAATGTTCGAATTAAATTAGTAACGCGTCGAAGCGAAAGGTACCGTAAAACGAAAATGTTATCATAATTTCATGTCATCAATCTCTAGTCTATGTCTAGTTATGACTAGGAAACATCAACGATCTAAACTGGATACAACGCTTAAGTGTCGAGAGTCTGTATCCTTTATTATTTGCGTTGGACAAAAAGTTATAACGGTTTTTTTTTAATTAAAATGACTAATGCTATTAAGCCCGGAGTGAAAAATATAGGCGTCATTTCAATGTTGTGGTTCGAACATTTCATAGTCATTTAGATTTGCCGTCCCATCGAATCAAGATACTGTGAGATAGACGAAACACTATGATCGAATCTTCTTGTTAAATTCTTATTTATTTATGGAAGAATAGTAAAAAAATAATTAAAAAGTGTAATAAATACCACAATGCATTGCATGGCACATTGCCTTTGCGTCGGCCGGTGTGGCCGGGTGTGTGTGATGCATCGAGGAAGTTTTATAAGACCACAGGCGTTCGAAATTCAAAATTATCGACAACTGTGACCTTTTATTACGCCTTGAATAGTTGTTATTTCAGTTTTTCGTATTGAGTTAGTTTTCTATACACCGTTTAGAAATGAGCTGTAGGATTCAGTCTTGTAATCATAATCATCATCTTATTGATTGATTTGAGTGCTACTTCGAGTTCATGTCTATCTCATCTGTTCAAAAGTATTTCTCTACAATCGTCAGTTTATTTTTTCTGGCCATCATTGAAATCCAATATACGACTATTCTTTAAGGGAATTTTCTTATCATCCGACGAGGTCACTGCAAAAAAGAAACACTCAAGTCTAACTTTTGTTTTTGAAGAACCATGTTAAGGTCATTTTTGGGTGCTGAACTGAAAAGTTTATTAAAATAGCACGTTCTCTACAGTTTCTTATTAAATTGGCAATAACTTAAATAAATAAAACGATCATAATCCAATTCGTTTTTGCTTTTTTACCTCAACCAATTTTACTTTTATTTTTTTACTGTTTCGCTGGGCGAATGGTGGTTAGTCAAATTAGTGACCAATAAATATGGTTAGATATGGGAATTAGGCAAAACAATGAATGTAAGAATGACTGAAATGTGTACCTATGTACTCAATATAATAAACTTACGATAATCGGCAATCCGTATAAAGAAACGAGACATGGCAACAAATGACATGATGATTTAGAAAACGAATACTTAAGTAAGGAACATAAGCAGACAAGACAAATTGTTTGAATTGCTGTCTGAAGGAGAAACTTTTATTTATTGATCATAAGTACTGCCTGTGATGTAAATACCCAAGAAAAATAACTGAACTACAGAATGTTGAAAAATGAATAGCCAACGCAGAATTCCTTTAAATAACGGCAGTGCAGCTTTTAACTACTAAAACTCTGCACCTTCTACATAAATTTGTGTTTCCGATTTCTGGCTGGGGAACTTGCTTCCATGACGAGACTTTTGCCTCCAATATGCATGTAGAATTAGTTCAGGCTGAAACTGAAGGTCGCTGAAGCATCTTGATGATTTTAACTCATTTTAATACGTTTTTTTCTGCGGTCACCAATATTGATAATAACGTGACAATTTTGTTATTTTGCTGTCAGTTAGTCATCAATATCAAACAGCTTTTAGGATTGTGCTGAGGTTTTATTTAGTTCGTCAAATGTTAACCTGGTAAGGCAAAAGAAATAAAATAACGTTTTACATAAACGCTGATAGCGGTACTTCCAGTATTTATCTAGAATATTTTTTATTTCTTTTGCTTCAACTTAAACTAAAAGTATAACTACTGGACTTAGTTTCATCCTTTAAGTCCGCAGGTCCGCTACATGATTTACGTGGTGTACCTATGTTAGAAACCAAAAGATATGAAGGACATAATTTGTCCTTCATATCTTTAATGAAACAATGAATTTATTTTTGCAAATAGGCCTAATAATAAAACGGCACTTTTAGACGTCAAATTACCTATATGTAAAAAACTAGATAACGACGGCATTTCCTATCTGACTACTCTGAGAAGAAATGCCGAAACAAACTCACTGTGAGTTTAATTTTGTCACTTTATTCGTAAGAATATTTAGATAATATTCTTATATAAGAATTTTGGTAGTCATATGACCTTAAATTGTCCAAGGTCTGTCTTTACTCTTTACCCAATCGATCTTCTTCACGCTTAAATATTCTGCCATGTTTGCTCCAGCAGATATTCTTTTGATTAGCAGTGTCGCAGGACATATAGAACCACCTTTTTTCCTTGCTGATGAATTTCGAAAATGAAAATTGATTTGGCAGAGCTACCAATGTGTTCTTTAGTTTTTTTATTCGGGTTTGACACAGAATAGATATCCCAAGCTGGGAGGACGCCAGCTTGGGATTTTTGAGGATGAGTCCAAACAATAAACTAAACCTCAATTCTCTCAAAACTTCGTTCAAAACGTCGTTAATGCAGGTACAGCTAAAATGCAGTGCTAACACCGAATGACAACAGAACCTCAACGTTAACACTGAATTTTATGCGTTAATGGTCAGACAAGCAGCCATCGATAACTACTCGAAATAGCCGATCCCTCAAGAAGACGGCTATCTATCTGGTCCAGGTCGAAAGGTGTTACCTACACTCTTCCTATTATTAGACGACTCCCGAACAACTACTACTTAGTTGTTCGTGAGTCGTCTTCAAAAACTTGCAGAAAGACATAGTTTCTTCATGAAGATTATTCTTATTTAAAGTATTATGAAACTTAAATGTGACGAAGACATATTTTAGATTCATAATTTTACAGAAAGGAAAATTAAATTAATTAATACCTAACATTTGGGGCTCAGCTCTGCTTTAATTTGACGTGTAAAAGTGCCGTTTTATGGCCTATTTGCAAAAATAAATTCATTGTTTCATTGTTTAAGTTAAATTATTTATACAAAGTAAACCGGCTTTTGTTTATCTGTGTTAATTTCTTCTGTTCTGAGTTTTTTTTAATCTACTTCGAGAAGACAATGAAATATTTTGATTGGAAACAGACAAGCAATTTTGTCTTCAGAAATAGTTATGAAAAACCTTGCGGGATTAATGCTCAAGTAGCTTCTTTTTCTTTCGGTAACCTCCCTCATACGGCGAATAATGACTATGGCGAGACAAGCGCCATATGGGTTTTGCACCGAGCTAATGTCAATGTTATGCATGATGAAAATGTAAAGTCAGCCTGGGCTTTGTAATTTATTATTATTTTTATGTATTTTATCACAATCTATCATAATTTATTGGACGACGGTACAATGAATCATACTCTGGCGGAACGTCAGACAGACAGTTCTGCGTGCGCATTATGGAGAGCGAGCGCTGTGACTGAGGAGACAGATTGCCGACGTCCGTTATTTTTGTAATTTATTCGGTCTGATTATAAAATCCTACGCCCTGCAATGGACTGTGAAGACGATGATCGGGGTGTTGATGTTTATACCAAGCCCGGTGCCTTCACGTGTTTACTAGTGGATGACAATTATGCATTGTCAACTTGCTTTGTTTTTATATTTGTTCTTTTTTAATGTAGTAACAATGTTTGTCACGGCATACAACTCATTTAGGTACTCAGTGGTATTGTGTGCATTTGGCAATATGTGCTGTGTGACATACATTGTTTCTCAGGAAATCTGAAGTTCTTAATTTATTTGTTTTAGATTTTTTTACAAACACCTATAAAATATGTCACCAATAATAATGCAAAAAGTATTGGATTTTTCTATATTTCACTATTTGCTAGAAAGGTAGGCTACGACGGATCTAAGGCTATTTCTATTTTTGAAGTAAAAAATATTTGTCCACCACTTACTAATATTCGACCACTCGACTAATGATCTTTGTACACCTACCTTAATCTTCTCTAAGCATTCGAATTGGAGTGACAGTGACAGACGTCAAACAACACTTGATTTGATTTTGAGGTTTCGGAAACAAAATGTAAATAAATATTTACAAATAATTATTTATTTGTATATATATGAGAGCCTTATAAACGTTAAAATTATGTTTGAAATTAGAACAACTACCTAGTTGAACTGGCAGTGATAAATGTGAATTCATTGAGCGAGCATTGATATTGAAAAGATAAGCTTATCAGTTGATATTTCAGTGTAAAGTACAATGAATGCTTCAGAATACAAGAAGTATCATGAATCCTTCATGCAGAACAACCATGGTTCCACAGCAGTCCACACCTGTGCCTGTATATTCTTCACTGTGCAATGTGCCGCATATTTAGCTATCAAATCCAAATTTCCGCGATGCTGTCAATTCGCCTATGAATACCTGGTCATGGTTCTACCCATGATTATAGCACACACTTTACTAGCGGAATACATTTACGTGTTAAACCTAATCGCTTTTATAATACTTTTAATAAATCTTTTGTTATACTACCAAAATATAGTAAAAAAATTCATGCAGAAAAATGTATTCCCTAACAATAGGATAGCTTTGATATCTTGTCTTAGAGGACTAACATACCTCATAACAGGATTGTGTATCTTAGCTGTGGATTTTCAAGATTTCCCTAGATATTTAGCGAAAACAGAAAGATTTGGGTACAGTTTGATGGATACTGGTGTAGGCTTATTTGTTATAATGAGTGGGGTTGTACATAAAGACTTGCAGTCTCAAAAACTCGGAGAGATAGTGAAGGGAAACTTGAAAATAATATCTATATTAGTAATACTTGGTGTAGGAAGATATGTATCTGTGAAACAACTAAATTATCAGGAACATGTAACTGAGTATGGTGTGCATTGGAACTTTTTCTTCACAATAGCTGTTTGTAAAGTTCTTTCAACATTTGTTTTATGTTTTTCTGACAATGCACTATTACTCTGTATTCTATCATTAGTTCTTCATGAACTTGCTCTATATCTTGGTCTTCAAGACTGGGTATTTGGTGACACTCCCAGAGATTCCATCATATCAGCTAACCGAGAAGGAATTTCTTCTTGCCTGGGTTATGTATCCATCTACCTATTTGGTGTTTGTATAAAAAAAATATTACTAAATAAAAATGCCAGAAGATATGAAATACAATTAAAGTTAATATTAGGAACAGTATTAATGTGGTCTTTGACACATTTTGTACATGTGATTCGACCTGCATCTAGGACTTTGGCAAATGCAGGTTATTGCATTTATATAAATACTCTTTTGATCACTATGACGGCATTTTTATATTTTATTACTGTACTGGTTGAAAGCAAAGGGAACACTTTCAAAGTGCCTGTAATTCTATCTCAAATAAATACAAATGGATTATCATACTTTTTGATAGCAAACCTCTTAACAGGGGCTGTGAATTTATCAATTAGAACTTTGTTAATGCCTAGTTATATTACTTTTATAATACTAAATATTCACATGATAGTCTCATTAACTGTCATTGTGTATCTAAAAATATTAGGTGTTAAAATATAATAAGTAATCCATAAACCTTCATACTTTCAGTTTTTCATTGAAATTGTAGTGGGAAGGAAAAACGAAAAAAAAAAACAATAATTTCCCTCTTAATATATTATTGCAATTCATTACATTTAATAAGGTACAAACAAACATAGTTTAATGTAAATATATAATAAAAAGAAACATACATTTAATTTCTGTCAATAAAGTTTTAAGTCAAAATAATTAAAATAAAATACTGGTGTTAATCTTTCATTTCATAATCTTTCATTGGGCCAAATTAATGTTAAGAATAATACATTAATATACATATTATTTGCATTAATTAAATGCATTTATTTTACTATATTGTAATGTTTTTTAAATGCTAGGATTGTAATTTAATTTTATCCTAATAAGTCTGTACAAAAAGTAACAGAAGCATAATATAATTAATTAAAAAAATTAATTAAAAATTAAGCATAAAGAATATTAAAATAACAACCAAGTTTTTAAGTAATTAAAACATTTAATCATTAAATAAATTGTTAGGTATTCATATAAGCCAATGGACTGTACATTATGTATGTAACAAATAAATGTAAAATTTATCAATTCACATTCCATATTGTTCAATGTCTTAAACAGTATTTCATTTATGTAAAATATAACAGTTTAAAACAAATATACAGTTAAAAATTGCTACTACAGTCTTTCATTTTACTTTAGCACCACAACCTGATATAGTTTAAATTAAAATTTATTCTGATGGCTGATTTCAGTAACATTTGAATGAATCTGTACTAGTACAACAATTTTGAGAACACTGGAAAATGGTACAACAGTATATCAGGAAGTGGTGATTTATTTTGCTTTGCTTTTAAGTCATTGACTGCCAACAGATTACAGTTGAGGGCTAATCCACTAGGGTGGCCCACATGTTATCGCCCATGGCGTTCAACATGTTAAATTAAGTTGCTATTGGCATCTAAATAAACAGGCCAGCTTGTTTATATACAGTGCTCTGTCCATATGAAGAAAATTAATATGGCATAAAAAGTAGCTATGGTTAAACCATCTATAAATATATCTATATATTTAAAAACAGTATTTTATTATATAAAAATCTGGATACCCGCAATTTCAATTAAATACACGTTTTCAGTGAGTATGATAATACAGTTATGTATAATTATATTAAGGAGCGTAATATGCTATCTCTATTTCTAATATTATTTGTTTTGTCATGTAAAATACCTGTTTTACTATTTTAAGATTGATTTAAAATGCTATCTGCATATAGAAGATTTAAAGTACATATTTCAATTTTTAGAGGTAGCCATAGACCTGATTTATTGGTTTATTAAAGATCACCTTAACCTAGTAAGTAACTATTTGTTCAAATCAATTCTATAAGTCAATGTACCCCAATCTATTTCGAAATTTAAAAAACAATCTCTTTAAAAAATGAATTTATGATTTGCGGTATAATACGACATTTGTTTTGGCGAATAGGGTTTTTGATCTAAGGCAAACTGCCGATCATAATTTGAACTGTTTTTTAATAAACAGACTCCATGTTGTATTTTTAATTTTGTAGAAAAGGAAAATAAAAACCAATTTTATTTGGTATTTAAGAAGTAAAACTTAGTATTTAAATTTTATGACATAGAAACTGGATTCGAAGTATGCAAGCTACATATTTAATTACATTTTCAATTGGGGTTCTTTTGGCACCCATACGCTGGATCTTTTACCAGTAATTAAGGAATAAATTTTATCATTAGTTAATACTTTTTTAAACGTCGTTATTTAAATTTATCCTAATATCGACGGGGTTAAGTTTCGTAATTAGTAAAAGCACAGCCAATTACATTTGGGCCGAGTATTTCAAAATAATTGTAATAAGTAATACATATAGTATATAAATGAACACATATCTAATACAATTTATTAAGTAATAGTTATAGGTACTAAAATACGTAACAATAATTACAACGAAGTTATCATATAAAAATAACTTTAGTAAGTAATAATCTTTTGTTTGCTATTTTAAGAAACGTGGCCTACATTTGGATAATCTCCATTTTGTGGATTATACTAAATTACATAACAATAATTACAACTAAGTAAACATATCAAAATAATGAAAGTATTTATCTTTCAAATGCTTTTTTAAGAAACATGGCCTATATTAGGGGTTTCTCCTTTTCATTGGGCACAAACAATTTTCACAATAAATGCATATAGAGAGAATAAAACGTTAAGTGAAAACGAAACTTGGCTTCATATTAAAAATAAAAGAATAGGTCATAAAACAAAGAACTATTAAAATACTACTTCAAAAAAATAAATTTCACTAAGGATCAATAATTGTACTGTGTTTAAGTACCTACTATAAGTAAATAGGTAAGTAAGTATAACATAAAAATAATTCATAAATCATACAATAAATTCCAAGTTCAAATCTTCCTAGTGCTTCCTTTTTATCTGTGTTTTGTTTACTGGACGAATGTAAAACTGGTATAATAGGGTAGTTTCCAACTAGTCAAATTAAATACTTTCTTTAATGTGGAAAACGACTCGACGCGCTATCGATGATTACTTGTTGTCGATAAATTGATTGCCGAGGACGGTGGACCCTATTGCTTTCCTGATCTTGAGGTTGTAGTGTCTCTAAATTTTCTGATGGATGATAGATAGATGGCAACATATTTTAAACATCAAATAGCATAGGTAAACATTTTTGAAAATTTACTATAAAAATCGAAAAATATTTTAATATATGAATAATATTGAAGATTTCAGATAATTTACTTTTGTCCCAGGAAACTACCCTATCATAAAAAGGCCTAATTTATTTCAATCCCATGATCAATTCACTTATATTTTATAGGGTAACAATTATGCCACTACAATTCAAGTCACATAGCCAATATTTTTTGTCAATTTGCTACATAGAAATTCCGTGTATTATGTAAGCATAGTTATATGGAACAACTTATTTATATGGACTTACCTTATCCAATCGAATCTACCAATAAACAGTAGATTTAAATCCACAAATGAATACATGTCTAAATAAGTATATACATTGAACATTGGCACTTGTAAACATTAAGATAAGTGCTAAATTCGTTGCAGCAATGGAGACATATCCGCACTTTTGGCCATTGATGCGGACTTTCTATGGCAAAGTCTGGCAACACAGAACACTAGGCAGTATAAAATCAGTATGACCAGCATAGATAAATAGAGAATCAAGTAGGGAAACCTGGTTGGCGACCAAAACACAGTGTACCTCATGTTTTGTTGGTTGTTTTCTGAAACAAAAAATTATAAGTAGGTATCATTTATGGCATACGAGTATGTATCTGGTTATATACATAGTATGGCCATAAATACTGTTACAATTAAAAATAAGTAAACAAAATATTACATTTGAATTTGGAATCTATCATTTTTATATAATTTTTCATTGTGTTTTCTTATTTTGGCGCCAATAAATTATTCAATATTTTGCGATATTAAAATGGAGTGGGGTGATAAAGAGAAACGAATAGCTGTGATTGCATTACAAAGTGGGTATGGAGCCAAATGCAATTTTTAAAACGCTCCAAATGTTTGTGTACCGAGCTATTAATAGGTACAATGAAACCTCCTCTGTTTGTGACAGAAAAAGATCTGGCCGTCCAAGTAGTGTTCGTACGAAAAAGGTGGTCAAAGCAGTAAGGGAAAGAATTCGAAGAAATCCTGTCCGAAAGCAAAAGATTTTATCTCGGGACATGAAGATAGCACCTAGAACCATGTCGCGTATTTTAAAAGACGACTTAGGACTTGCAGCCTGTAAGAGACGCACTGGACATTTTTAAATGATAATTTAAAAAAGAATAGGGTGATAAAATCTAAACAACTACTCAGGAGGTCACAGAAAAATTTTGTTTACAGATGAAAAAATGTTTACAATTGAGCAACATTTTAACAAACAAAATGACCGTTTTTCGATAGAGAGACGATCTGCAAAGGATAAAGTTTTTTTTTTAATGAAATGTGTCTTTGAACAAGCGTATTTTATGGTAAGCAATATGCGCCGCTTATTGACACCAAAGGAGTTACGAGTGCCTTTCAGACTTTCGGGGGATAAGGTTGGGCCTCCGGTAATCTCACTAACACAGCGAAACAGAACACTGTGGTTGTTTTACGCCAGTTTTCTGTAAGGCCGTGATGACTCCGGTCGAGCCAACACTTTTTTACCGAAGCTTGGTTCTCCCACATCGTGAGGAAATTTGGATTTTGAATTTTAATCAACTTTAAAAATCGTCAAACCGCCATGAGCAATCGTTGCGAATAAAGCATAACAATCTATAGGAGAGTCTTTGCTTAGCAGTGAACACTTTTAGGCTGATATTTAATGTAATTTACAGGACACCTTACCTAGAACAGCAGCACCATAGCCAATGGAGCTGGTTCCCATTCTGTACGAGCAGGTTGGCACGTAGACCTCATACAGAGACTCCTCGTCGAACGATATGTTGAGGACTGGCCTCACTCCATTCAACCACGTCGTCTTTCTTTGGGAGAGGTTCTTTTTCTGTTTCACATACTTTGACTCGTGATCGTGAGCGCAGAAGAATATATCTGGGTTGATTGCTTTCATTACCTGAAAGGAATTAGATTTTTTTTGAGAGATTTTATTTGGAAAAATTAAAATGAACATCGTAAAATAAGTAGGATTTATAATAAACTAGCTACTCGCATGCGGTTTTACGCGCTCCGCTGCTATTGGCCATACAGCTAGCCGATAAATTGTATTCGAAAGAAAAATCTATTGCTCTCCAAAATTATTAGGCGTAAGTACCTAATTTTTTTTTGCCCCTTGAACGTGACAGATTTTGCTTGTGCGTAAGTCTACCGACTTGCATAGTGGGGTGGTTCGAATAAGGGCGTATATAGAAATGGAAACCCTTCGAAACTTTTCCACCGTTGTAAAGCACGATGATTTTTATTCAAGTTCAGCACGCTACGGCTGTCTACTACTTAACCGGACTAATCCTTTTTTTGTGGAGGTAAAATCATCAAATGACATCTTTCGCCTCGCTCGGTATGACGAGTTCCGGGAGTGTCTGCACCAGGCCGAGGATGCGGTACCTACCTTATTGCGCTACACAAAAACCACGATGAAATCGGTAGATTTTTAAATGATTCATCATTAGAATGAAATCAACGGATCTGCCTTTGATCTGACGAAATTGACTTTATTTACTTTTTTTTTGTCTTGTTTCCACCTTTCTATCGACTTTTTGGGCTCCCCTATCATTATCGGTCACAAAAATTATAAGAACTTTACCTGGTAAGCAAACATGTATTTCTCTGTAACTGGATAGTGGGAAACAGCAATCTTGAAGTTGTTCTCCAAGCCTGGGATCTCATCAGCCTTTTGTGGGAATGTATAAGTAATAGCGTTTACTTTGTAAAACGAGATATTAGAATATACTATAATGGACGGCTGTTTGAACACTTTCTCAAATTCCTCTATTTTGTTGTGACGAACTGGTTCGTTCTCGCCACCAATGTCATTGTCTCCTGGTATCCAGACTTGCTGAAATTATATAAAATGCACAATGGACAGTGGATTTAATACTTGATATGACGTGTCAAACTTTTTATAATTATAAATGTGATTACATTATGGAACTACTTAAATTGTGTTGCTTGTCTGACTAAACCATTTTTGGTTAAATGGTGAAATAAAATATTTTTTAACAAAAAAAACCGACTTCAAAAAGTAAACTATCCATATCTATCTACTATAGAAGTCGGTGCCAAGTAAATGCTACATACCAAACAACAACAGTATTAGAAAAATATATTGATCTACTAATCATCAAACTAGCAAGAGGTATGTAGGTAATATCTTTACACTATTATTGTTTTACTTGGCACCGACTTTAAGATTATAAGATAGTTATTAAATATTATTTTCTATTTAACTAAGTACATGAAAATATGCATTACTTTAAACAAAGTAAATTTATTTTTTGCTTTTTAGTTTACTTTTTGAAGTCGGTTTTTTTTTGTTAAAAAATATTTTATAGTTTTTATACTTATTATTAATTATGCCTCAAGGGATACAAACATCTCTTTTATATCCTACTAATATTATAAATGTATGGTGGAAAGAACAAACATATGTTTGTTATTCTATGACTACACGGTTGGCGCGGTGACTGGGCAACTGGCTGCCGTGTCGCGTGTCGCGAGTTCGATTCCCGCACGGAACAACACTTTGTGTGATCCACAAATTGTTGTTTCGGGTCTGGGTGTGATGTGTATATGAAATTGTATGTTTGTAAACGCACCAACGACACAGGAGGAAATACTAGTGTAGGGCAACGTTTTTTTATTAAAAAAAATCACTAAAAAACGCCTGGACCAATTTGGTTGAAATTTGGTACTTATGAAGATAGCTTGGACTAACTTGCACTGCTTTTTATCAACATACCTAGCAGACGAAACTACGAGCGGAAGCCAGTATTATGTATAAGAATCTATTGGAATCAAAGAGGAAGAAACTTTGTAAGAATGCTTACCACGGCAGGGAAGTCCCATTCAAATATACTAGCCAGTCTCTTCGCATAGCCATGGAATTGTGGCATGGTAGCAATAGACCCCTCATCCATCAGGTCACCCAGGTACACCAAAACATCTGGTTTCAAATAATCCACTACTACTTTGAATGTTGACCTCAGGTAACTGAAAATAATTGTTACACAGTTAAGTATGTTTTGTAAAGTTAATATATATTTATTTGTTTTCTTTTTATAAAAAGTTTAAAGCAAGCCAGTTTTCAATTTTTTATTTTAGAACTAACTGTCCTTCTAGGACAAAAGCCTTAATTATATTCTCTGTGCAAAGTTTTATATGAGTAATCTACATTTAAATAGTAATTTAAAAAAATTGTAATGTGTCTCCTTGTTCCTGCCTGTGTGTCTGTTCTCTCAAGTAAATATCAGTACACACATCAGTACAGTGAAAATTCAATAACATATTATATATTTATAATTCTTTACATCTCTTGCTTTAACATTTTTTAACAGTATCACATGAATGACATAATTTTTATCTCAGATTAAGAGAAAAAACATGTTGATAACAAACCTTTCACAATTTATTGATAACACAGTAAAAAATGGGAAAACCACCTCCATTTTTACACTTACCGATCACTATCCCAATTGATGAGGTAGCTCAAAGGAGGTGGGACTGCCTCATCTCCCTGAATTTGAGGATCGGCTATAAATAAAATCTTTTTACAAGTGGTGTCATGCTCATTGCACTCCAGTTCCGTCCAGTATTGCTGCTGTATAATATAGATAAACCATTCACAGTAAACAACTGCCCCAATAAATGCCGCTATCACATATTTCACAGTTGTGCTAAAATAAAAATAAAGCACTTAAAGTAAATACATGTGGATTATTACTTCATTGATTTATTTTACAATAACAAAACATCCACACCTTCGTCTTAAATACATATTTTGAATATGTTTATTTGTTTCGTTTTTTAATTAAGTCTTAGAGTTGTATGGTTTATAACCAGATTCCTAAATTTAGTAATAGGTATTGTCCCAATATATTGTATAATATATGGGATATTATAGTCAAACTTTTGGCTAGTAAATACTAGCTGGTTAAATAGATATGGTCACTCCCGCCTGCGGTTCCCATTGTTCCTGTAATCCAACATTTGTTATCAGTGTCAAGTAATGAGTAGCGAATATTAAATTAGTAAACTATTTAAGAGATAAAGCAGTAGATATTTTAAGCTGTTAATCGGTGTTATATTTATGAAATAATAGTAATCTAAAAAAGTCTAATGTTAAATGTCTATTTTTTTATCACCTCAAATCCAAAATACATCGAAACTATTTGCAACTCAAAAGTCAAAACAATCATCTACTTTTCATTTAACGTAAACACGAACACGAAAATTGATGAAACTTTTATTTTGCCTATTAAATTAATTGTATTATAATTGCAAACATACATTATTATATACTGATATCAGTAAAATATATCTGACATCTAAAAAGGATTGTTAGTTTTCTTTATGTTTTAATGAAAACAGATGTTTGTAACTCTTTAAAACGGAACGTACACATTTCATGATTGTTGACATTACTTTGGATGCATTCATAAATTATGTGAAAATCAGGAAATAATTTTATAGGAATTCCTGTTTAGTTCTTAATTAAAAACATTGATATATCGTAAATATGATGTTGTTAATAAGTTTCTCAAAATAAATCTATTTAATTGATTTATATTTCACATTTAAATAAAACCATTAACAATCTTGACGCTTCATGGTAAAAAATAAACACGAATGCATCTCTATTGCGGCGATTTGACAGGTCAGCTTCGAGCCACTTTTTAGCTTTCTGAGTAGCGTATTTTCATTTTATTTCGTATTATCCTTTCATTTACGCGTAATAAATAACATGTATGTAGTTGTAACAGTAGTGTGATTAGTTTATTAGACTATTTGTTAGTGCACTTACAGTGTTACATAAACAGTAGAGGGCTAATCGTTTCGGCAATCCCGATGCATATAACTACATAGTACGTCAGTGAACGAATGGTGGCATTAAGATAATGGATGTGGATGCTCCTAACATATTAAAAAGGTGCAGTAGTGCACCGTTAATAAATGAGGCAGCCACTACGGCCGCCACATCTCCTACGACGAACGTAGCTCCCAGGTAAAGTAATATGTGCAGAACACGCCTCCTACGGCTCTGATATGGTTGTTGCTACGCTGCTTACCTATTTTTGACAGCTGCTGAGGTCGCCAGTGGGTGCTGTGCCCGTATTTAGCGATGTTTGTGCATTATTCACAGTGCATACTGTTAATGTTATCATTACTAGTTGATTGTATATTGTTATGGTAAAAGTGCAGTAGCTTGGCGTCATTTTTCAGTGTTGAGTTGCGGTGTGTTGACAATATGTAAGTACTGCAGTTAGTGCTGAGCTATTAACTTGACACTGTGTTCCATGTTTTGTGTTACATATTTTTTATTTAACTTACATTTTCTTATATTTCTTATAATCTCCCATCTTGCAGTTATCTTGCTTTATTAATTAGTTGAATAGTAAATTTAGTGATAAAGTTGATTTAGTTTTAAATTGGTGAGTTGTGGTTCTAGATTATAATGCCACTATTATAATATGCATGATATGCCTCTTGGAATATTGTGAAGACACAAATGATGACTAATGATTCCCAATATTATAAAATTACCCATTCTAATGTCCATTTATGATGTTAATTAAGATGCATTTTAAGTCATCAACACCTACATGCTGTGTGTCTACCAAGCTGATATAGGTACAGGTTTCTAATGAGCTCTGTATAGGTATAAAGTAATTAAATAATTTGATGAGGTAATTTAACAGGAACTTTTTCATAATTTTTTTCAAGTAGCATTTTTTTTGAAGTTCCAAGAGTAAATACAGAAATATCAGTCAACATCGGAAGGATTTTTAATGTTACATTGAAATAATTTGTACCTCCTATTAAATCAGCATGTATTTTTATTCTTAATATGTTTTCAACTCAAAATCTGCTGCACCAAATTTGGTAAAATTACAGCACATTGTAGGTATAGTGCAACAGCAAATTTTGTTCAATAAATTTTACCAGTCATAATGTATTATTATGTAGAATCATCATTTATTCTATGAATGTCTATCTTACAATGATGTTATCACAATAAATTTTGATAAATGTAAAACTCTATGATAAATTGTTTTTGCAAATACTCATTTTGTGTTGTTTTTAACTTAATGTTCAAATTCTTGAGAGAGAATGAGTATGATTTTTTGTTGTATTGCCAAGGTGTAGTGATTTTTAATCTAGTAATTCATTAGAGTTGAATTGAGAAAAGTTTATGTTCTATTTAGTTGTCATTTAACTTGATGTTATTCAATACTATATGATGTATAGTGTTCAATACTATATGATGTGTAGGGCTTTGATCAGCAGTGGACATCTTCGGGTGATGAATGGCTGATGATGAAGAATTTAGACAAACATTTTCATAAATAGTACATGATTATTCATCCTTATATTTAATAAATGTATTAAAGTCTGCAAATAGCTCATAAATAACAGCTAAATGTTGGCCTATCACCTGTACTTTGTAATTAACCTTTAGATATTCTCATTGCAATAAAAACACTACTTGAATATCAAATTAAAGTGGATTCAGGTTTGTCTTGGGTTATTGCCAGACAGGCTCATGACAGATAGCATTATTTTGACAAACTGAAATAACAGCTTGTTTATTAACAAACCTTAACAAACATAACAATATCATTCTTCATAATTTTGTATATGAAGTTGCCTTATAATTTTAAAGTTGTTATAATCCACTAGACTACTCTTCACTCATCACTTTACTCTCAGGAACACATTATTATCAGATATCTAAGAATTCTTAACTCAATGGGTTCCAGTTATGGTCTACTAATATTACAGATGGATATTAATCATTTCTATGCGCGAATTTGACCTTTACGCCAATATGAAGATCAGCCTCTATTCCAATTGAGATGATCAATAGCCAATTGCAGTTTTACGCATAATATGATTTGTGAGTGCATCGGCACGTACGACTCGGCAGTTCTAAAGTGGACCGGGTATGCAAGGCAGTGACCTTTCGTTGCATAATAAAAATGAATAGATTAGCTGTTTTAAAGCTGTATGCAGCCGAATAATGCACGTATCAGGCACGTGTGCGGTAATCGAATCGTAGGTTTATAGTGCAATCGCGATTCTGAAAAAAGGCGTATCACATAACGTGGAACCCTGTTATTCATGTTCCGCCGACATGATACCTAGTATAATCATTGACATTCATTGCATATACAATTCAATATAATGCTTCGCCTACATTCTGTTGCTAAAGGGCGAGTTACGAGTTCAAAAATAAACGGACTACTATGGTATGAGATTTACTATGAATAATGGCTTTTGTATGATCATGCGATATAAGTGTGTAGGTCATCTACTTCGCATATTTTGCACTAGCTTTTGACCGCGACTGCAGATTGCAGATTTTTGGTATAAAAACTATCCTATGTCCTTTCTGGAGTTCGAAACTATGTCTGTACCAAATATCCTGAGCAAATATAACAGAAATCGGTTCAGTAGTTTACGCGTGAAGAAAAGACAGACAAAGTTAGTTTCACATTTATAATATTAGTTTGAATTTCAAACAGTATCGGAAAAAATATATAAGTACTATCGATACTAATAAAATAAGCATTACAGAGGAAAAAGCTTTATTTTCCAGGTTTCGATTGAAAATCGTGATAACGGACTCGACAATAATGTTACTGAAATGAAATATGTAGCATTATAAACACTGAGTAATTGTTATTGAATCACGCAACAGTGTCCATGTTATTATTGTCTCACGACGGCGACAGTCCTCGTTTCGTGTATAATGTTATGGTATCATTATATTACTGTTTTATAAGCAGCAAGTTTGTGTTACTCTGTTTATTCATTTCTAGTTTCATTCGAAACGAAAGTAATGAAACGACTAGAACGACTATTATTGAGTCGCTTCAAAACTTTAGTGGCGCGTAAACATGGCTGTTTTGAACTGATTTTGTCAATTTCGCCCATGAAAACCATTGGTGACATTTCATTCGAGTTAATCAAAATATTCTTATCTCTGTTATTTCATGTTTCTATTGCGAGAATTCAAGCCGTAAAAAGGCGGTCAAATACTCAAGTTGTTGTTAATCAGTTTATTTTCGATTGCGTGGAAAAGTGTTGCATTGGTCGGAGAAATTAATTTGTCGTCGAGGAGATTCCAACAACATTCCTGGAAAATATTGATGATCAAAAATTCCTCCAGTGCATTCTAATTTATTTTACGACCGTATAAACTGAAGGCTTGCCAGGAACCCGCATTGCCAGCCATTCTAAAACGCTTTTGGCTTACTTCCTTGCCAGTTCACATTAAGGACGCCATTTAAAAAGAGCGGAGTATTAATTTAATGGTACTTTAACTTTATAGAGCTTTTACGAGTACACGAGGTAAAAGGAGAAAAACAAAACTGTTCACAATGGTCACACTTCGGACGTTACTTTGACGCAAAATGTTACGCTTTTTAAGTTTAAATAGTCTTTAATATGTGATGTTTTAGTATAGTCGCAATGTGTAACCATACCACGCGATTCTTCCTTGCATCGACCTGTTCAATACATCAGCTCGCAAATGCCCGTCTTTATAATCTAATTGAGTTCGCCGCCGCAACACTTCGCCACTCGTTCTCAATTGATACCAATTCGCCTCCAGAGTGGTAGCGTGCAAGATTGCACAAAATTACCATCATACAAACTGTTAACTGTTATATAAAGATTTTGCGGTGTCTTTAGGTGAGGCACTTGAATATTAAACCGCACCCATTTGTGGGTAGGCATCGTTTTGCAGTGGCCTCGATTCTGTCCGTCGCCCTCTATTCTGAAAACATCGGTATTATGTATTTTTGCTACCTACTCAATGTGGACAAACAACACGCACGAAATTAATTCACATAGTGTACTTTCGTTGACTTGATCCAGATACGTCTTGTTAGTATTAGGTACTACTAGTATTTAAACGATTTTTTCTCTCAAAATCTTACAATGTTACTGTTTTGTGGTGTTTTATATTGAAGGCTGGCTTAGGGAAAGGAAGTAACCAAGTAAAGTGATTGAACTATGTGAATGGGGAAATATAATTAAGGGGATTAAAGAAATAATATGCAGCAAAGAAAGAAGGAAAGAAAATAAGCCAACAAAAATAGCATCCACTATTTATTAAAACCCGTAAATAAGTGTTATCGAGTAACGGAAGCTACACATCTGCATTATTGTTATTAAGTTACATTAGCTAATCTTTAAAATAATATTGTTTCAGGAACACGTCGATCTTCAGCATGTTTTCAAACAACAACCTGACGCGCACGCGCAGGCATAGCGGTACCTTTGGTACTGTCACCTCGCCAATCAACGTAACTGTGAGTTATTTTTCTACAAATTTTTGTACTGGTGGCTGGAGACACTATTCGGGTTGCCATTCTGCATATTAAGATCTAACATTTTACATTAACAAAAATTGTTCTACTAAACAATATTAAAATTAACATAAGTATCTATTTATATAAGTATTGACATAAGTATAATTAACTAGTTATTAGTTCCATTGCCAAAATAATAGCTGATTTCATATTCTATTGATGATATTGATTGATGGTAAGCAATCCGCGCCGCCCATAGACACTCCTTAGAATACAGTTGTTCTGTATTCTGAGGGACACTCATATCATAATACCTAACGAGTTACTGCAAGTGCGTTGCTTGTCTCTTGCAGGTTATTAGAGATTTAAAGATAGGGGATTAAATGATTGAGGATAGGGGGGAGGGTTTGGGACTACTGAAATCAAAAAACGCTTCAATCTATTCCTCAAACTCGAGATAGCCAAATTTGTCACTTGTTTGAAACTTAGTTGTATGAAGTACCTGTAAGTTGAAATTATCAAAAACTTTACGGGAGTAGTGAAGTCGGCTCATAAGTATATTCTTTGCAAGTAGTGAAGTACAATAATATGTCTTCTATAACAGGTGATTGTTTGTTGCACAGAACTCGTGGGCGCGGATGGCGCCGCGGGTCAACCAGCTGCGCGCCGAGGAGTGCGCTGACGTTAGCAACACGCGCGAGGTGGCGCACGAGAGGGAAATACACACCGCCATGCAAATGGGCCAATCTTGTGAGGATCTGACGCTAGTCGCCGGATTAGCCAATTCCCCTACCAGGACACCTAGGTATTGTAACTTTATTTGTATACTTACGCGATCCACGTCTGTATTCCATAGATAATGAAGCGCAAACTCCTTCTACTTCGATTAGTTTACGTAGCTTCCATTCACGTCTTTTTCCAGCATTTCTCATAAGAATGATTTTACTGCGTTTAATAATATAGGATTTTAGCCAGCTTTAATGTTCGATGAAAAAAAAAATACAAGTAAATTAAATGTGACAATCTTTGAGCCATACAAGCATATAGAAAAGTCCTTGAATATGAAGAAAATATTGTTAGGTCGATGTTCGGGATCTCCACAGAATCAATCCTCAATTTTGTTGTATTCGAGAGGCTAAAATTTATGAAAAATCTATGTGTGTCAGTGAAAATTACACCATACATAGCGTAGCAATGAGAAGCGCCAGCTCCTACGCGTACTACGATTCACTCTTCGAGTATGTCAAAGAAAACAATTGACAGACGAAACGATTTATTTAACGAGATAATTTATTCTGAGCAATAACTTTACGTAATTATTCTCAAATAGGATCGTTAAGCATAATAGGTGGCCTCGTGCATCTAATGGGCTCTCGCTTGGTAAGGAAGACGTGCTTGTCTCGGTTAGTAGGTAATACGGTGGAAAAGACTAGTCTTCTATTGAATCAAACTCAATTTGTAACGAGAATGACGAACAATGCGTTCATTTCCCTGTCTTGGAAAGAGATGCGACCAGGCGACCACTGAGTTTAGTTTCATTGAGTCTTCAGCTAGTGACGTCATAAGTATCAAAATTATCAGTAGTTAATAAATTAATTTACGAGTGTAGTTTCTAATTATACTGACAGAGAGTAGCTACCAGAGCGATCTGTCATTCACACGTTTCTTAGCATTTTCGGAATCCAGAATACTTGTGAAATTTTAAACAGGGTAATAAAATCGTTTTATGTTGTTTTCAAAGTACGAAGGACTGTTTCTACGTTATAAAAACAATGTTTCATAAAATCAGCTCAATTTCAAAATTGTTCCAATGTTGTTGTATAAAGCAAGAGTAAATTTTTCTAAGAGTATCAAAGTAATACTTTCGTAGAACACTGGATAAAGTATATAGGTATATATTACACAGAAGGCTATAGTCCTCCTACATTATTACCTCCACCTACCACTTACATTTTCTCTCGATGACAGTGCCAGATAGTCACTCGATGTCGTAAACCTGAAATTAAATGTTTATCGTTGCCCGCACTTACGAGCTTAGATAATGTTTTGTTATTGTTGCTAAGCCGATTGTTATGTACAACTGAGTTATTGTTTTAATATATTTTATATTGTATAGCAACAACTCGCTGCTAAAATTCAAAATGAATACAAGTAGAAATGTCACTTTTTTACAAGAGTCCGTCAAAATGTTTGTACTTACCAGTTATTGTTAATTATTAACCGACTTCAAAAAAGGAGGAGGTTCTCAATTCGACGCGTATTTTTTTTTTTTTTTATGTATGTACACCGATTACTCGAAGACGCCTGGACCGATTTGCAAAATTCTTTTTTTATTCGATAGGGTATACTTGCCATTTGGTCCCATTGTCATGAGGTCAGGATCTGATGATGGAATCCTGGAGAAACCGAGGGGAACTTTCGAAAATTGTAGGGGCGAGTAGTGTTTTTGTATGATGTTTAAGTAGGCCTTTATCAACACTACAACTTGACGAAGGTCGAAGTCGACCAGATGTTGGAACTGGAAGACAGTCGAGGGATCTCCTTGACTATTTGAAGTAGTTGCCTTGTGTTTGGGCTTGAATGATTCGTATTGACGAGCACTTTGCAGCAGGCTTGGTTGTAACTGTCATTAAGGGTCTGATGATGAGAACGAAGGACAGCTCAAGGAACTCCTGAACGGTTTACAGTAACTACTTCGTATTTGAACTTAATTCATTTATATTGATGAAAACTTTGTACCTGTATGTATTATAACAACTGAAGGTTTGCAGTTTACCTGATGATGGAGACCATTGACCGACGAGGGAATTCCGGATGGAACCGAGAGACAGTCGAGAGTACTCCTCAACGATTCATAGCAGCTTCCTTGTGTTTGAGCTTAATTAATTCGTTTTGATAAGAACTTTACATCTAGATGGATTGTGACTGTCATCAGGGAACTGATGATGAAGACGAAGGACAGTCTAGGGAACTCCTCAACGGTTTACAGTAGCTACCTCGTGTTTGGACTTAATTTATATTGTTAAGAACTTTCCTGGAGAGATGGCCTGTGTTCCAGTAGTGGGAACATTAAAATGGCTGATAATGATGATGATGATGATGAGAACTTTCCCATTTCTTGAGATTTATTTTTTTTAACGATCGGCTTCTTTCGTTGGCCTAGGTACACAAAGCTACTTAAAAAGTATATACTATTCAATATGTTAATTTATATTTAAAATGTTACTGTAGTTTACAGAAGAACTTGTAACATATACTAAAAAGTAAAAAATAAAAAAAAACTACGTTTAAAAAAACCGACTTCAGAAACAAAAAAGTGTCAAATAAGTAATTAAAATTGATATTCTAATAGCACTCTTACGTACGCGAAGCTAATACTTTTAATATTAATAATAAAACACTATCAATTCTATGTGCTACCTATTCATAGATTTGAAGTCGGTGCCAAGCCCTAAACAGAATAAAACTAAATGAGAATTAAGACTTTATTTAATTGCTTAATTTATTGTTTAATTGCTGAAAGACGAAATTTCCAAAACTAACAACGCAGCCATCTACTACTACTTTTAACAACCAAGTACGAGAAAACTTTCATAATTCATCCAAATATCTTTCTAAGCTATATACAGTTTCGCCGGTAACGCAACCATATAGACTTCTGATTCTACGCTTACGCCATCAAGTTAGGAAATCGGTACTACATTTCTTAAATCCTAACAAATAAATTCACACGCGCCCGGCGAGTGTAGGTACTCATGTAATCATGCTTATTATATTGTGTATTAGGCTTGGCACCGACTTCAAACATATGAATAGGTAGCACATAGAATTGATAGTGTTTTATTATTAATATTAAAAGTATTAGCTTCGCGTACGTAAGAGTGCTATTAGAATATCAATTTTAATTACTTATTTGACACTTTTTTGTTTCTGAAGTCGGTTTTTTTAAACGTAGTTTTTTTTTTATTAATCTTCGTTGTATGTCTATGTGTACATCACCATCGGATACATTATTTATATTAAGCGTATATTTTTCTGGAATATGATATTTCCTGTCATTAAACCAGCATTGTCAAAATGCAATTGGCAATTGGCAAATGCAATCAATAGTTAGATAGCTATACTCGGAATTTTAATTCCATTCCAGATTTGACAATTTCAGTGTTGCAACGTTATGACACGTAATAAATAGTGACGTTGCGAAATTATTCGATGTGGAAATCGAATATTTCTGAATCGATTACTCTCGTTTATAAATTTAATCTCGTAAACTAAGTTTATCAGGAAATAAAATATTTCTGAACCGATAATTTAGTTTTGACAATTAATTAACGATCTGAGACTTTTCTTTTGTAATTGTGTGTGAAATTAATAAAAAATGTGATCTTGAAGGAACGTGACAAATTAAACAGAAATTTTATAAAATGTCGCCGTTTATAAAATGTTGCTATCGCTATCGCTGTTACTTTCTGTAACATTTATTATGAATTGTGTCTGTGATTTTTATTGTCAATTAAAATATCTAGCTTAATCATTTTTTCCTCTTCTTTGACAACATGGGATAAGCATTTAGACCATTCGGTAGCAGTAATTTTTTGAATGCCTTCCTGAAACTGATTCACCGATTGTTTATCGATTTTTGTGTTCATCACTATACGTGTGTTCATCACTATATGTGGTATCATTATTTCACAAAATGACAATAGGTCTTGTCAAATCAGGAATCGAATTAAAATTCTGACTATAGTTAGATAAGTAAAATCATAGAGAAAAGTGTATGACCGTAAAATTTTCATTTCAGATTTTCACCAGTAGTATCCCCTTCTCCGACGCGGAAGTATACAACGCGGCGGAGTTTGTCCCCCATTGCTATCCGAGCGTCAAGCTTCAGTCCTGTCAGCCGGCCAAACATGCTGTCCGGCAAGCGACGCTGCGATGAGGCCGACTCACCACTCTCCAAACGTATGTGTACCTCAGACAGACTGACACCTTCCACGCCAGGGACCCCAGACTCGGACTCTTTAGAGTGCACATTCAGACCAGTCTCCCCCAGAGTCCAACCTATGAACGAGTGCTCACACGAGTCTACAGATGTCCAGGAAAATCACAAGTCAACCAATACTAGCTAATAGTGTATTAACTATTTTATAACAGATTTTTTTAATTGAGACTTTTGCGGGAATAATTATACTATTAAGACATCTCTTGCCAACATCTTCGGACAGTCCAAAACTTTTTATGACATTCAATTTTATATTGTTCAAAATAGTAGCTTTTATAAAATTACAAATAAGTTCTAATATTTTCGCAAAAGTTTTCAACTCAATTCTAGTACTACGGGTTTTAATGACTTCTCGATGCTAAGGTATTTTATTTTGTATTTCCAAAGTATAGCGAGTCATTATAAACCCAGTAATAATCTTCATAGGGTTCAAATTCGTGTATTTGTTCCAATACAGTAGCCTACCACGTTGGTTCCTAATGAACTTGAAATTATTTACGTAGTTTTATAGGAATGAACTGTAAAGTAAGTCTTGAACGACTCTGGTTTCGTTGCTAAATTGCATATTTTACACACATTAAATAAATTGTTTTATGTCTTGTATGAGACTGGCTGGGGTCAATGACAAGTCAGATCGATAGAGTTTACTATTAAAAATAAGTAAATTCGTGCTTGACACGACAAAGGGTCCTGTTAAATTCTTCATCGCGAAGAATGAGGTGTTTTCGAACTCAAGTCCTTTTATTCACTATCTCAAAAGCAAGAGAAATGCAATATTTCATTAAAATATGACATTTAGCAGCGGACGAGCGCATGAGATAAACTTAAGCGAGTGCCCTATTGTTAGCCAAAGCATCCAAAACTTTATTGTAAATATATTTAGAAACGTTCGCGTGTATAGAACGTGTAATGTATATAATTTATATTTAAGTTAGGGTAGTGAACACTCGAAAGCGTGTAGGTATTATTGCAGGAGCGATAACTTCGTGTAGTTTCGTTTAGTCATTGGTATTTAAATGTATATCGCGATGCGACAATAAGTTGCGTGCTTTACATTTTGTAAACAATTATAGAAAACTCTGTTTTGGTCGATTTTGTATCTATTTTAGATTTGTCGAATATTTCTGTGATTTGAGGTTTAATATTAAGTGGCTTGCATGGATCCGCCAATGTTTGAAATAATATCCAACTTATGTTATTAAGTTAACCAACTTGCTATCGTCATAACAAAAAAAAAAAATGTTTCAGATGTATTTTCTACGGTAAGATGCGCTAATCATTGTAATTTTCGTTATGAATATGATATAATAGGAGTCATGTAAGCCGCGTGATGTTTAATTAAATTAATCCGCCGATCGTAATTTAAGTTTATAAACAAAACATACTGTTGTTACTAACGAGCTCAGCATTTACTAGGCATCAAGCTTTGCCCATCACGAGAATGTACACGTACTTATTTCGAGTAGGTATTTTTTTTACTTTCAAACTCGATGTTGAAACTTACTAATATGTCAAAACCAACACGAAATAACTAAATGGTGTATTATAATTTGTCTAGTGAATACAATGGCCATAGATAATAATGGTTTTTTTCTTAGTTAATGTAACCTCATCACTGTTAAGGCAATTACTAATAAAATGTGGCATACACATTACGGCTTTACGGGAGTTTCTTAGACGGTAGAAATGAAAAGTACAGAAATATAAAAAATAGCTTTGTCGTAATAATTCGTACATTTGTTTTAGTTTTGAGATTGATGTATCATTGGACTTCGTGCCTAAATACCTGTTTAGTTATCTTTATTCGAATTTTTCGAAGTAAAAATTATTATACAACCGTTTAAGATAAGGAGCGAAATTTCCTGAAATGCCGTTTTGGCTCCTTTGGTGTTGCTGGTGTCCACGAGAGGCGATGATCGCTTACCACCAAGTGTTTCGTCTGGTCGTTGATTTGCTAACTTAACCCATGACAAAAATGTGCGAGTTTAATAATTTTTGAAGTTGTTTCAAACGTCACGTAATTTTTGTAGTCTGGAATTACTAGTTCACAACTCGCTGGTAATCAAAATACAAAAAATCATACCGCACGCAAATTTATCTTTCTATCATACTAACGAATATAATTTAGTACCTTATTCATTTTTAACCGTCATAGATACTTCTTATTCCTGCCATGCCTTCGCATGTTCTTATAAATGTGCAATATATTTCTCCACTATGCCGTAATGTGTAGCTATATGGTCTTAACGGATTTCTGATAGCTTAGGAAATGTGATCTACAAATTTTTAGCTATATATAAAGTTTGTATACAAGAATCTATGGATAATTTGTTTGTCCACATCGTGTCGTAGTAGATAAAGGATTTAGCAGATTTATTTGTGTAATACACAGGTGCAAATACTTTTATAAATCAACTACTTGATATTCAGCGCGGACGAAATAGTTATCCATTTCTTTAAAAATAGATCGTTTGTAAACACGATCTTTGTAAGACCACCTGTACTTTGTCATAATCAAATAATTCATCTCAATGATTTGTAAATTAATTAATTAATGAGCCCTCCGGTAGCAAGGTAATAATATCTACAAGTATTTCAACTTCATAGAAACGGCCGAAACGCGAACTATACCTACGCGCCCGATGTCGGGACGCGCTCGGGACGCAGTCAGACGCGGCTGTACCGCAGTGACGAACGGACGGTGTGTTGTCTTTTATTTAGAAATCAGCTCGAGTACATTATTTAATATGACGAATAGGAAATATTGTGCTGTTATTATGTTTGGTTGCATGAATTCGACAATAACGCATCCAGACATAAGTTTTTTTTAAATTACCTGGAAACTCTGAAAGGTAAGACTATAAAATAATTTTACTTACTAGTAGCCTAGGTAGGTACATAATGTGTGTCTTTATGGATCATTATTTCCAGTTATCTCACGAAAACAGATGTTTGAATTTATAAATAATATGAATAAAGTTATTGAGACGAGTGAAATAGGTAGTTATAGGCGGTTCTGGTTCAGAATGAATCATGATACGTTAGGTACCTACCTACTTACGCTTGCGTTAAAACGGTTCATGTATGTTTTGTTATTTTGTATAATTCAAAGTAGAGAGTGTGGTATTTTATTATTAATAATATTTGTTTATTATCTGCGTTTATGAATAATACTAGAAAATATTTAATAACAACAATAAAACAGCTAGACTCATGTAATATTTTGATGTTTGAGGGTTGTGATTTTAGAACATTCGTAGTCAGCTGTTCAGTTCGGCATTAGTGGCCAAAGAAATTTTGTTTGTTTATTTTTAAAGCACTTTATTTGTTTATATAAAAAAAGGATATTTACAATCACAAAACTAAATGGAAACAGAAAGTAGACAAAGGTAATTAAAATACTGGAGACGAGCAGCCCTAACGCATGTTTACGTACCGCGCGGCTGTAGGTATTTATTTCTTTCAAGCGGCCGAGTTAAAATACTGTATGATATTTATACTGTGCCGGTAGGTACCGGGAGTAGAAATTTATGTAATGTGATAAATCTTTTGATGTATCGAAATGTAACTTTTATAACACCTGTAATAATTGTTTCTGACGAAATTAATAGTTTTTTTGAATTACCTCATGGTTGCAGTCGTGACCTGAACGTGCATTTGTGTTAATATAGTTTGTGCTATGTATATAAGTTGTAAGGCCACGACATCTTGTCCCGTGTTTACCTACGCGTATAAGTAGGTATTGTTTCGTAATTTTTTTGTATGTAATGTATTAGTCAAGATGTCAGGTTTGACTGCTGGAAAAACCATTTGTTTTCAAGTGTGATTAAATCACAACATGAATAATTTACTTTGTTTCATTTTGAAAAATATTATATTTATAAGAATTACTTTACGTCTCTTGTATTGTAAGGTGCCTCCGATTTAGAAAGCCTACATATTTTTGGAAAATGATGCAAACTAATTGTGTATATTTACTTAATAGTTGATTAGATATTAATAATAGATAACACACACAAGACGTCAATCTGGAATGGTTTTGACCAGCTTATATCTGAAAGCCATTCAAAATTATGATAACGCTGACGTGACCCGTGTTTTTTTGATTACGATGATGTTCTTGATAACAGGTCTCTACACTAATTTTATACTAATGAGGGATATTTCTTGTTGCAATCAATCAACGTGTTACCAAACCAAAATCACTTTTATTTACAAGTCAGTTTTACATTAACCTTGTATAATTAGACGACAAATATTATCAAGAAGAAAACAGTTTTCAAAGTGACAATTATTCTAAAACTTATTATTAAACGAACAACATTATTATAACATTCCAATATTTTGTACTCTTTAAAATGTGATAAATTACAAAACATATGACAAATGATGCGAATAATCTCACAATAATTACTATGTAAATTAATTATATTAAAACATTACAAAATCCATTAATAATAAGTTATAATTAAAAGAGTATTAGCAAAGCTTGCCAAGAATACATAATATTATGTATAAAAACGTTTACACATCCGGCGCTGTTTGGCCCCGCACGGTACCGTCGCCGACATAAGTGTTATTGCAATAAGACAATATAACCTAATATAAAATCTACAATGATACCACTACTACGAAACTAGAATACGTTTAAAACAGGAATAATTAAATTCATTGAGAATCATTTTAAATTTACCGTATAACACTTATGATCGGGACCGCACAGTTGAGGCTAGCGATTTTTCAAAAAATTCAACAAATGTTAGTCATAAAATAATCCTAAGCATTGCATATTTATCATAAAAGCGAAAGCGCTCATGTACAAAATATACACTTTGACGAATTTCAATCTACGTATCGAGAAATTAAAATCTCTGTCCCCGACAATACAAATCAAAGTGTTATAAATATATTTGTACATTTCTGATAAATACACACTTCAAAACATTTAGCCGATTAACACGTATATTTCACATAGGAAGACAGCGTCATAATATTCATATAATAAGCAGAGGCGGAAGTAAAACAATATTGGAATGTGGATATTAGGCATTGATTTTTGGTAAAAAGTCTATTGAGGTCTGACAGGACATGATGAGATTTTGGTTTAAGTCATTTTTTAATATCTTCAAACAATTTTGTTTCATGGAAACTTAGTTTCGCAATTTAACTGGGATTATTTATTGAGGCTTCATCCTCCTGGTCAAACATTCGAGTTCAGGTACCATAGCACTATATGGCACATCTTTGACAAAATCTGTAATCTAGTCAGGTTACACTGACGCCATGCTATCATGTCAACAAACATTTCAGTCTTTATTATTTTTATTTACCGCAAGTAAATAAACTTAGCATAACAACTCGTACCATAGTTTAATAACGCTTAATAATTCGTGCGCCTAACACAAATTCTTAATTGATCTACGTTTTTCACTACCTACACATGTTCACTTAATGGCAGTGTCATTATCTACTCGGGTATGTAGTCCCGAGACAATTTGTCTAGTTTAGTCAAACTACTTATAATTAAAATGTAGCACTACTGAGCCAACGTGGCACCTTACATTTTACTGGTTTCCTTGTTTGCCGCCTTTGTAGCTCGCTCATAGTTCCGAATTTTGACAATTTCCATTCATTTCACGTGAACGAGC